GTCGTCGCATCTAAGCCTGCTTCGCATGAACGAGTTTCGCGTTGACCTCTCTATTGATATCTCCGTCTAGTTGCCCGGGTCTCGGCATTGCTGCGGCAATCGAAAGTATGTCCCGCCCTGCATCAACACAAAACAACATCAGAATGATATGGCTCAGTCTGCCACTTTCAATTCTCCCACCATTAGCTTTCGAATCATCCTCGGTCGCTTTGGAAGAGCCAACGACCGAAGGAGTGTTCATTCGGCGAGGCTGGGGAGGTTGCATCATCTGCCTGACCGTCAGACTCACTGTCCTTAGCTTGCGTGCATTCTTCTGGCCTCCAGCTCCATCAATGTTTCATTTGGTGGTGAATCCCGACAGTTTTGGTTAGTCCGTCGAGAATCTAGGTTGGCACGTACAAATCTCAGGGATATATATTTCTGAGACAATCCGCATGAGGCGTGAAGGTGAATTCTATTTCATGGACAGACTATCACATAAAAAGGAGGTTGCGGCGCAATGACTGGGCCTAGTTAAGACGGAGCTCTGAGGATCTATACACTGCAAAAATGTTGTCAGCAGGTTTCGAACCGACTGCAAAAGAAACAGATTTCGATTCTGGTGTGGTAACCACTTGCTTAAGACCAGTCAAGATGAGCCCCGAGGAATGCATCCATGAGTGAATGTCAATGTGTGTTCTGATAGAAAAAACCTTGTCGTAGGCAGGTTTCGAGCTTGGGCTGAAGTCCGACAGAAACATATTCGATTCTGTTGTAGTAACCACTTTGGCCAGGCGAAGTTGAAATGAACCTCTGAAAAAATGTCCATCAGTGAATCTTCAAGGTGTGTTCTGAGAGAAAAAAAAATCTCGTCGGCAGGTTTTGAACCTGCACTTGTACAGTCCAAGAGACAGATTTCGATTCTGCGATAGTAACCACTTTGGCCAAGGCAAAGTTAAGATGAACCTCTGAGGAACTGTCCATCAGTGAATCTTCAAGGCGTGTTAGGATAGAAAAAACCTCGTCGGCAGGTTTTGAACCTGCACTGGTAGTGTCATTCTAAGGGACAGATTTCGATTCCGTTGCAGTAACCACTTTGGCCAGGGCGAAGTTAAGATGAGCCTCTGAGGAACTGTCCGTCAGTGAATTTTCAAGGCGTGTTCGGGATGGACAAAAAACTCATTGGCAGGTTTTGAACCTGCACTGTACAGACAGAAAAGAACCCCTGTTGTTCGGCAGGTTTCGAACCTGCGTAGTCCAAGAGAAACGGATTTTGATTCCGTTCTGTAGCCACTTTGGCGAGGACAAAGTTGAGATGAACCTGCGAGGAACTGTCCAGAGTGAATCTTCAAGGCGTGTTCCGATAGAAAAAAACCCCGTTGTTAGGCAAGTTTCGAACCTGCAAAGTTATAGAGAAGCAAATTTTGATTCTGTTGTGTTAACCACTTGGGCCAGGACGCTTGCTGGCCGAGTTGTAGACGAACCTCCGAAGAACTGTCTATGTCGACAGGTTTCGAATTCACACCACAAGAGAGCAGATTTATAATCTGTTCTGGTGCAAAACGGTTAGCTATGATTAACTCAAGATAGGCCTTGAAAATCCGTCCATGAGTAAATGTTAAAGGCGTCCGAGACTGATAAAGGCGTCCGAGACTGATTCAACAATTCACCTGGAAGATCAGTCACTTGAGTTTGTAGTGCAGTATAATGAATGTCTGAATGAGCGGAGAATAATACCCCTGGGCTTTCAATCCTCTTGGAGTACCGTGGTCCGATGCACTGCACGAGAATCACAACAAGAAAATGGGATTGACGGAGTAGCGAAAGAAGCAGAGATACAAAGAAAATAGGTTTTCGTATACTGCAGTATCAATGACCATCGGTGTTTGGGAGAGGTGCGCAACAAATCAAAAGCACAAGACGAGCCAACAATGTGAGGAGTCGTGACCGTACGGCTTGGTACACCCGGTCTGTTAGCCTGAGTGCCCACTATTTGTATTTGGGGCAAGTTGTGTTGTGGACGTCGAAGTAGTGGCAGGCTGAGATTGCGATGACGACCCCTGGCCATGCGATTGGCTGTTCTGCTGCTGCTCTCGTTTTGGCCGGGGAGCGACAAACAAGGACTACAGAGGCATCACTGAGCACAGTGAACAGAAACATGTAGATGAAAGACAACCTTTCTGTCCTGTACTGCAGCAACGTCGACGGTACGGGAACCGTGACGAGAGAAGATCCCTTGCCTTTGTGTTTGTTGGAGTTCGGTTGCATTGCCAGTATGGGAGTGAGGGCGACGGAAGAGTGACGGAATGCGAGCAAAGAGCGCGCGCAGACTCCCTATAGAAGCTGCGAGAACGCGATTGGAGGAAGGGTGATCGACACCGGGCGACGTGCAGGGCTGGTTGTAAGAGGTGAGAACAGGAACTGGTTCAAACAAATGCTAACGACGCACATGAATGTCGCCCTGCATGTCACCAAAGAACCTTGGCGGTGTTCGATGGGCAGGAATAGCTGGACGTCGCGTGGCATCTTTCTAGAGTGACAACCTTGAAATGGTTGAAAACATTGAGAAACACGTCACGTACGTTCATTGGCGACTTTCCAGCTACCGCCTGCGAGTGAGAGATGAGCGTGGATTTTTACTGAAGGATGGTGAGACTTACATCATGCAGGAGAAGTTTTCCAAGACCAGCTTTTTTGAGAATGGCGTGAATGTCCCATGCGTACACATCTTTGTCACCCCCAGTGACTAGCACTTTTCCATCAGCAGAAAGGGCTGCGTATTGCACTCTCTCTTTGTGCTGGAGTGGAGGACCAACTTGGAGGTTTGTGTCGAGACTCCACAGACGCGCCGTTTCACCATTTGATGCACTTGCAAGGAGGTGCCAGCCGTTCTGAGACAAGGTGATGGTGTTGACCCAGTTTCGGTGACCCTCCAAAGTGGCGATCTGCTGCCAAGTGGCAGTGTCGAATATCCTAATTGGGCCATCTGAACCGCAAAATAAATTCCTTTCCATTCCAGGCTAAGCTCCTAATCCAACGATCGTGTTCGATCGTTGTGAGCAGGTCGCCAGTCTTTGCATCCCAGATTTTTACTCCATCTTCGCGGTCGCCCGTCGCAAATTTTGTTGAGTCAGGTGAGTATGTCACCGCGTACACCCACAGGTTCTTGGTCTTGATTGGACCCAGGACTGTTTCGCCGCTCTTGACATCCCATACTCTTGCTGTCCCGTCAAAGGACCCGCTCACGACTCTCTCACCATCTGCACTCCAGCACACTGACGGACACTCTCAAAGTGTGCCCTTTCCATCTGGCAATGACCTTTCCTGTCTCCACGCCCCACAGTCTCACTGTCCCATCCCAGCTTCCGGCTTGCCACAGTGTTGCCATTTGGAGACAACGCTAATGTGGACACTACTTCTTCATCCACCCCATCTCGCCAGTCATCGCCAATATGTATCCCGCTTTCCAGGTCCCATAGTCGGAGTGAAGCCGTCCTCTGAACATGTGATGATGCGTCGTCCGCCAAGCAGGTGCACGACATCTCGTACACGTTTGGTATGGCCTCGCATGGTCTTGCAGGGCATGGCATCAGGCGCCTTACTGGTTGTGGATGACATGGTCGGCGCCCGGAGTCTCGACTACGGTAGATGGTCGATAATGTGCGCGAGAAATGCGCGTCGGGATGGTATTTGAATGAGAACGGGTTATCTGGTAATAGAACATATGACTGGTCGGTCAAGTCTGTCATTGTCAATGAAATACGAGGCAAATCTGACGAGAACGCCTGCTTGCAGGAATTTAGTCCTAATTGACAGGACGGCTTCAGGAATATGTATGTAGGCCGGCCCGGCCCAGTGTGCGATAATTCGTGAGTGATCTTTGTATTATACAAGTCGCCGGTGAGTGGGTGGTCGGCTTTACAGCATAGAGTATCACTCACGAGAAACACCTATTCAGACCAACTAAACTTTATAGTCCTCTGTGGACTGAGAAGGTTAAGCGTCGGGTTTAGAGTTGCGGAAAATGGGCGTCCATTCGTTCAAGGCATGTAACACTGTACGTATTCCATGCGTCAAACTCGTGTTCACTTCACAGCTCAAATGCTGTGTAGACGAGGCGCTCGGGTCTGCCACCAGTGCTATGTGCACTTTTTATATGTAATGGACTGCATTGATCACGACGACAAATTTGGACGAGCCGCATTTCCTCTCTGCTTCAATGATGTTCTTCTAGCCAATGTCGAACTCAATGTCATCAGCATTGCTGCATAATTGAAGGCTGTGCACCATGCCATCACCCAGCGTTGTATTTCAAAGTTTACCAAAGCTTGCTGTGCTCTTATTTCTGTTAGACCTTTCCCTCGTCGCCTTCGATGCTGTTCTAACGCAATTGCGCTTCCTTGTACTACGAAGGGAACCCGGATCCAGGGCATCCTTATTCTGGACAGGATGCGATTTCCGAAGACCAATCACGAGGTTGTCTCAGGCTACCCAACTGGTCAGTGACCGCCGCGTGCAATTATACACAATACAAGTTGACCCTACGGATAAGCACAGTTTTTCTTCTTTCCATCTTTGCCATGGTCAACCTATCAGACGAATATTCCGCTAGTGACTTTGGGAGGAATCAGGAATCCTCACACTTTTTAATAATCGCACGTCTAGTGGTCGGACCGTCTATATAACCGCGCGTGATCCAAGTTCTCGAGATCGTAGAAATGATTTTCCGTAACTCTTGCTGACTTGACTTCATGTGCCTCGAGGAGCAACAGGCGAATAGGTTCTTTTTGCAATGCCATGAAGTTCTGCCAGAACAAAATTCAGCACATAAAAGCGAGCCGTTTTTCTGCCATCCTCTTCAGATTTATTTGATCCCATATTACGCCTTCACAAACAATGCGTTTCTCCTTGTGTCCTCTACGTTGTTGCTGCTATGACAACATCGGTATCTGCCGGTCCCACTCCCCCGGGTGGAAGATGTCCCAACCTTTGCAATGAAGTCAGTTGCTGCACTGGTCAGAAATGTGTGCCGACATTCGTCCAACAGCTTGTGAGTACCAGCAGTTTGGATCCCAAATTTGTCCACATGACTCACTGGCGCGGTAGAACAAAGTCATCGATTATTGTAAGTGAGTAGCATGTCGCGATAGTGAACTACAGTGAGCCGTGAAGTTTCTGTTTTCGCATCAGTGTAGTATGGCTGACGCGTGAGGAGTTCGTTGCAGAGTTGATCAATGCACTTGCTCTGATCAAATTTCACCGCTGCTCGAGCAATGGAGTTTATATATATATATATAAATCACTTTTATTGTCCTTTAGGATGTTGGACATAGCCCTATTCGAGTGCAGGGGGCTTACTCACGGCTTTCTATCGTAGTTTGTGTGCTGTGGATGTAGTATGATGCCTGAAATAAAGAGCTTGGAGATATCGCTGTCGATCTCAATCACGATTGCGGCTGAACAACAGGTGAGGAGCAAGTACGTACGTCTTGTCTGTTTCTGCTGTGTTTTAGATTTTCCACCCCGCATTCGCCTGTGACCCAGTCTTTTCCGATAGGGGTGTCGATTCTCTGACCGTACGTCCAGGATATAGTAGGTGGTGGAATCAAAAGGAGGGATGGACATAGTGGACCAGCTAGATGAAGAGAGCGAGACTGGCCTGGATTTATAGTTACATTGGTTGCAGATTAAATAAATATAAGTTTCAGGCCTCGTGTCCTGGGCGTATAATGATACACGAAGCAGGTTGAGGCTGTGAAGAAGCACAAAAAGGCCCGGTACACGCACCTCTGAGACTTAGATTAAGACACCCGCAAGCTCTCCAGCAAGTTGTGCTCAACATCGTCCACCTCGAGCAGGATGACGGGAGCAGAACAGCCCGCAATTCGAATCACCACGACTAGTCGAACATTTGAAGGTCATGAAAATAGTGTCTCGGCAGTCGCAGTCTTCCCCGACAGACGTCGTATGGTGACGGCCTCGGGCAACAAGACGCTTCGTCTGTGGGACCTAGAAGACGGTGTTGTGTTGAAGACAATGGAGGGGCACCGCTTCAGCGTACAAAAAATTGCAGTATCAAGAGACGGGCAATTCATAGCATGCGGTAATTTGGGTGGAGAGCTCATCGCCTGGAACAGAGACGGCGAGCCTCTCACAAAACCCATCAAAGTTCACTCCAAAGAGATCTACTCGCTCGACTTTTCCCCAGATAGCACATCGGTGGCGAGTGGCTCATTGGACACTACAACGGAGCTCTGGAACACAAAAACATGGCAGGTACAAGGAGATCCAATCGGTTGTGGCGCCGAAATCCTCTGCGTTCGGTATTCGCCGTCTGGTGAACATCTTGCCATCGCAACCAAGTCAAATATCCAAATATGGAATCCAGGCAAGAGGGAATGCATCGCAAAGTTCCAGGGTCACGGAGCATGGAATTACTCACTCGCGTGGACGCCCGATGGCACACGGCTTCTCTCAGCGGGTAGCCGTCGTGATCCCACCATACGGATCTGGAATTCATCGACTTGGAAGCAGGTTAGTGAACCGTGGAAGGGCCATACTGAAAATGTCTACATCATTGCCTTGAATCTTACTGGCACCCTTCTTGCGTCCGCATCTGAAGACCACCAGGTTCGCATTTGGCGGCTTTCGGATCAACGAACCATCGCGATATTCAAACATACCAGTCCTGTGTATTGTGTCACCTTCTCCACGGATGGCAAGCACATTCTCAGCGGAGGAAGAGATAGAATGATCTCAAAGTGGGAGGTACCTTTGCTGGAGGACATTCTCAAGGACCAGGCATTAGATGTAAGATCCTTCATTTTCCGTCCCTTCTCCATCTCATTTTCTCCAAGGGTGTGCTACGGGAAGACACTTTGAAGGAACATGTGGTAAATAATGTGAGTTCCGGTTCATTGACGTTTGGTTCGTCTTCTTGCGTATTGATACTTAATCTTGATGCAAAGATTCAAGAGTCTGATTGCGAGGTTGTTTCTAGGCTTCATTCTTACCACGCAATCTGACTATGCGTGATGCAGATTCTCGCCATCAACACGACAGCCCGCAATGCGTGCATAACCGGAGATTTGTCTACTGCGGACAGGCTGCTCACCCAAAAGATCAGCGCTGATAGCAGCGACTACAACTCTTACGCGAATCGCTCGCTTGTTATGGCGAGAAAATCCGACTGGGACCGCGCACTTGATGATGCACTAAAAGTGAGGCACCGTTCTTGTCGTGACCCTCTTTAAAACGGGCTAAGTTATATGGTGATATAGAGTATCAGCATTCAGCCATCCTTGATAGGCTGTATCTCCAAGGGCATCGCCCTCTGTGGAAACGACAGTTCGAAGGCGCGATGAAAGCATTTGACCTCGCGTTCATGTTTGTGGACGCAGATTTGCATAAAACTCATCTTCTACTCTTGATTAAGGTACGTCAATTGTGTCTTATGTACTCGTTACTCACACAACAGTTGTCAGGCTATCACCCTGTTCAATGCAAATCAACATGACGAGGCCATTCTGCGCGTCCAAGAGCTAGCTACCACCTGTCCCAACGCCGATACTCTTGCCAGTCATATCGTGGAAGTAAGCGTTCTTCGCTCATGCACTTTGATTTGTTTTATGAACTCTGCATATCAGGCTTATCTACATGTCCAACTGGGAATCGATGCCTTGAATGGCGTGCGTCACAGCGAAGCTGCTGAGCGTTTCACTGCCGCTGTCAACATCATCCCTTTCTCATCCATGTCGGCCATCCATTCTAAATATGATGTCTTCGCGGTAGTGGGTTGATTTCGGTGCAACTGGAAATCATTTTTTCACGCCCGACTGTTTTTTCTAGTTATTCGGGTGGAACTTCAAGTCCTTGTGGCGAACTGCACACCAGAATTGGTGCCTTGCGTTCCTTCAGGCAGGTAGACTTCCAGAAGCCATCAAAGCATACCGACACATGATGGATATGATGGATGAGGCTACGAAAGCACGCTGCCTTGCTTGGTCTACCGGCAAGTCTTCGTGATGTCAACTGGGTATGATTCTCAATCTTATTTCACTTAGCTTTCAAACAAGATTGCAGCGTGCTCTAT